AGCGCGGTCAGCTCCTCAGCGCCCCCGCCTGGCGCCGAGCGGCCACAGCCCACGTTTCATCCCGCCGACCGGCCAGGGACGTTTGGGAATGGCTGTGTTTCTGACCCTTGGCAGAGGTTTTCCCAAGGCTTTTGATAAAGTGCTTTACCATAATTCACAAGGAGCCTGGACACGGACTTGAAAACCGATTTCCGTTTTCGGTTGTCTCTAATTAATGTCTTCATGTTGCAATAAGTTCCCCTTTTCCATCCTGGAACACTGTGCGGTGGATTCCATGGTTTTCCCCATCCGCGGCCGCCGGGGCTGGGCTGGCTCTCTGCCGCCCACCCACGGGCCCCTCCGGGGCCTATTCCTTTGCAGGTCTAGAGAAGAAGCCTGCAATTCCTCTTCCTTTTGGGTGCTTTTGATTTTTAAAAAAACTTCTTTGCAATAAAAGTGATACAGGAACAAAATAATCCGCAGAAGTAGAGAGAGACACATAGCAAGTCGAGGCCTCCCTCCCCGACCCTCCATCCCATTTGGTGGTGGTAAACACCGTTCAGTGATCTGTTTTGTCCATTTGTTCATTCGTTCGCCTGGCGAGTATTTCCTGAGCACCTCTGATGGGCCAGGCACATGCTAAGCTCTGAGCATGGAGCAGTGACCAATATTGTCACTGGTCCCTCCTCCGTCCCACGTTCTGCTGAGGTCTCATGGGAGAAGGGTTGCGCTCAGGGATAGCCTTGAGAGCCGAAGCATTCGTGAGTGGGAGATGCCACGGTGGGTCGAATGACTGGCAAAAGCTCGAACTTGGCCAGTGACTGCAGGAATAAAACGGGGGTGATCCGTGTGCTTTATTTTACAAGAATGGCTTAACACTGCGCTCTGTAGCTTTGTGCTAATTCCATGTGATTTCATCACTTGGTTTGCTCGTCTTTAGCAAATTGATGAATCATTAACTACTTTGAGTTTTTACGGTGCGACGCTGTACGTGCGCTGCTCACTTTGGAAGGTTATTGTGCATTTTCTATGCCTACGGTGGACATAATATGTGCTTTCTTTTCATAGGGGAAAAAACTACTTTTTGCTCGTAAGGATGAGCTTTGGATATCTTATCTTTCTTTCTGTTGGACTTATTTGTTATTTTTAAGGCATTTTGCTATTACGAGACGTGCTGACGTTATTCCTTGTGCATAAATCTTTATCTGCTCGTGGGAGATTGTTTTCCTAAAATTGGATAATTGGACACATGGAAAACAGGCTCCCCGCTCTTTCGATTTGCATTTCTTTAATTGTGAGGGGCTTAAGTACCTTTTTCACTTATTAGTAATCGGTATATGTTCTTCTGTGAACTGCCTATTCATGGTCTTTGATTTTTGGGTTAGTTTGTTTGTGGATTTTTTTATTGGTTTGTGAGAACTCTTTGTATATTAAGGAACGCAATTCTGTTTCTCACGAAGGGTTACAGATGTAAGTTTCGTGTAGTTTGTCATTTGTCTCTGGGTGTTTTGAATGGAGTTTCTGCTCGACAAAAATTGAATTTAACATTCTGTGAACAGCGTTTATATTTTGTTATGTTTAGAAGAGATCACAAATGAATTTGCCCATCATCATGGGTTCTTGACCTATTCGTTTTCGGAAACTGCCAAAAAATCTCAATGACGTTTTCGTAATAGAATATTACTTTCTACCATTCACTTTTTACCTAGCACGGAGTGGGTGCTCTATGTGAATTATCTGTAATTATTATAACTACAAGGACATGATGGCATTCTCATTTTAAAGATGATGAAACTGAGGGTCAGGGAAAGCAAGGAATTTGCCTGCGCTACCTAGACTCAGGCCAGTGGTCCTCCACCTTGAGCATCGGAATCCCCTGGTTTGTTAAAACACAGATTTCTGGGTCCCACCCCTAGATTCAGTAAGTGAATAATTCATTTTCTACTGCCGCTACAACAAATGAGCACAGAGTTAGTGGCTTAAGCGATGGAAACTTATTATCTTGCAGTCCGGTGGTATAAAAATCTGACACGGTCTCACCGAGCTATAATTGAGGAGTCTGTGGGGCTTCGTTCCTTTCTGGAGACTGTAAGGACAGAATATGTCCCCTCGCCTTTCCCCACGTTCCTTGGCTGGCGGCTCCGCCCTCCGTCTTCAAAGCCAGCACGGTGGCATCTGTCCTGCCTCTGGAGTCTCGTCTCCCTCCAACTCTTTCTTCTTCTGCCTCCCTCCCCCTCCTCACGAATAATGGTGATTTCACTGCCCCCCACCCCCCAGATAATCCAAGATAATCTCCCTAAACGAAGGTCAGTTAACGAACAACTTTAATTTCATCTGCAACCCACATTCCCCTTTGCCATGAAACCTGACATAGTCACAGGTCTGAGGGATTAGGACGTGGACATCTTGGGGGGTGGTGGGGAGGGCGTTATTCTATCTACCACAGTAGATCTGGGGAGGCCCGAGGATCTGCATCTCGAGCAAGTTCTGAGGTGAAGCTGATGCTGCTGGTCTGGGGACCACACTTCTGAGGAGTAGTGATCTAAGGGACGAGACGTGGTTCTGTCTCAAGTCCTTCTGGATATGGAGCCTCTGGCGACCCTCTCTGCGTTCACCGCTTTTCCTAAACAAATTTTTATTTACTTAACATCAGAGCAGGTGGCGTGGAGGAATTTAAATCTGCCCAGAGCTGCCTCTCGGTTCTGAGAAGGGGAGCACTCCCGAGGGTGGCCTGTGATGCCTCAGAAGGGTCACCTGGCTCCCTCAAAAGCTGAGGTCTAGTCCTTCTGAATATTTCAAAAGCAACACACGCAGAAATCTTGGTATTTAAACTTAAGTGGTATATCCAGTTGCTTAAACTTTCTGAGTGGCGTTATGATCCTGGCTGTTGAGAGTGGCCTGTGATGCCTCAGAAGGGTCACCTGGCTTCAAAAGCAACACACGCAGATATCTTGGTATTTAAACTTAAGTGGTATATCCAGTTCCTTAAACTTTCTGAGTGGCGTTATGATCCTGGCTGTCTCATACCGCTGCATTTTGGCCTTTTGCATAAACTTCCCACAGAGTCCTCACAAACTCAGTTTTAGGACACGGTTCCTGTGGAACTGCTAAGTGACGTGCTCATTTTTAAAATTTCCCTTCCTTTTTTTTTTCTTTCTTTTTTTTTTATGGTGGTCACAGAGGTGAATACGCGCTGGCCGAGTACACCGAAGTGAAAACTGTCACCATCAAACTGGAGGACAAGAGCCCCTGAGGGAAGAGGTGGTTGACAGCTGAATGTGGCAGGTCAGACTCGCTGAAGAAAAATCTACATCTCTGCCCTCCGCGGCGCCCTTTCTTCCCGGCAACCTCACATCTGCTGGATGTGAACCGATTTTATTTTCCTCTCGCATTCCTGTTTCATCGACCAATATGTCGGGTATGACATCGCGGTCCCACCGGGGGAGAAAGCCATTGGCCATTTCTGTTTTCCCTTTTCGACCGGGTCCCTGGGGACAGTGAAGAGGCTCAGGGCGTTGTCAACAAGAAGTGGTATTTGAAGTATCCAGCAGGCGATTAAAAATGCTTCGCTGACTCCGACTCTGAATTTTTTTGGGGAAAAAAAACCAAAAAAACAAAAAAACAATTGCCTGTATGTTCTAGAAAGAGAGTCCTGTTCCTGTGGGTTCTTCGGGGTTACCTGCCCACAGAACAAGCCCCTCCTCCTACCGTTTGGTGGGAAAGGAATAGCAGTAAGTTAAAAACAAACCAAAAAAAAAACACACACAAAAAACAAACAAAAAAACAAAACAAAAAAACAAACAAACAAACAAAAAAACGTGGAGGGGATTGCAAAGATCCTGTCTCCAAGGCCTGCAGCTTGACCGTGAGACACAGCTTAAAATCAATTCTGCCATTGGAACATGACCAGACCGCCAACCCAGAGAGCTTGTCTCAAACTATGTCACGGGTGACCCTCATCGAGGCACTTCCGCAGGCAGAAGCCACCGCTCGTATCACGGTCGCTGCTGGGGACGTGGTACCCTGATGCCACAGCAGCAGAGCAGTAACTAAGTCCCGCGTTTTATGAACCGGAGCCATAATTCGCTTTTACGAATTACGCATTTCTACCACTTGCATTCGATGGTTTATGTGGTTTGGCTTGCCTTTCCTTTCTCCCAGTCGGTTTATCCGTTTTAGGTTAGTCAAACATACATAACTGGAAAGACCCATGTTATCATACAGCCCTGGTTTTTTATGTTTAAGTCCTATTTTGATACTAATTCATGATTCATTAACGAATGACACTTGGACTTCATGGAGGAACTGGTCTCCCACTAAAGTGGCCGATTCGTGCAGTAAAAACGTTGTGAGTTGCCATTCCCTCTTTGTGTGTCCAAATGGTGCGGAGTTCCAAGTTTTAACTTGGAAAATGGAAAGCGTTTCCACGTAGCTTTAAAAAAGAAATGAAACCAAACTTGAATTGTGTTCTTCAGATACTTTGACTGTTACTAACTGATACTTTCCTGATGGTGTTTATGTTGTAGAATTAAATTGTTGGGGGAGGAGGGCAGTAATAAAATGGAGATCTATGTCAAAGCCAGTTGTAGGTATAAAGAAAGTCATCTATGAAATGCGGTTATCATTCTTGTCAGAAATATGCAATACATTCATCTTCTCTTCTTCGTCAATTAAAACTTATCACTCATACTGTCATTAACTCGTTAAATCGGGATTTGACTCATACACTGAATTTTCAGGATTTTATCTCAACTAATTATAGGCACTAACCTTGATCGTAATAATTAGAGGATTCTTATTCTTCCATTGTATGATAAGGCCTTTAATATGAAACGCTACTTTATTTATAAGTGGTATAGATAATGTATCTTTTTATAGTTGTAAGTAAACAGAGGTTGTATATGTAACCTTCTGTAATATACTGTATTTAGAAATGGAAATCTATATAGTATTAGATTTCACTTCTTTGAAGGTTTACTCCTGTGGTATGGTTTAAAATCTCTTGGCCTGGGAATTGTGATCCTGACTGCAGATTGTGTCCGCAATGGAACAACAATAAAATAAATTGGATATTTCAGAAATGTTATATTTTTTCATTTAAAGACCAAAACCATTTTACTTCTGTGGCTGACCTTTCTCTTTCTTAGACCTCCGTACGAAATGGCTTGTGAGAAAGTAGTATCAATAACTTAAGAATAAAATGACGTTTGCTCAATCGATCAGGCCTAGCGTTTACCCCGAGTGTGAAAACCACTTTTATGGTTTGAGGGGTTCACGGGGTGGTGAGCTCAGCCTCAGAGGCTCTGCATCTTAGCGGGTAAAGTTTAAGCTGCCGTCTAAGCTGCCAGATTCTTTTTTATTATCAAGCGGTGAGGATATGAGTGTGGAAAATGGTGGAAAAAATTGCACAGGGAATTAGGGAAAACATTGCATTTCCTAACCGTGTGCACGAGTCACTTTTATTCAGGAGGATCTAGGCGTTGGGGCTTAAGTTTCTAAGGCTTCGAACCAAGAAGCCTCAATCACCGAGTGGAGCGCTGGCCCTGAGGTTGGGTCAAGAGCATTCCCTGCAGTTGGTCAGCCCATCGTGTTCGACCTGTGCACTTGATGTTGAGTCCAGACCCTTTTGGCCATGCAGTGGCAAAGCAGCATCCTATAAGAGAAAACGGACACTCGGATCTGATCCCTCGTGATGCGCGCACTTATGAATGTGTTAATATATTTAGGAACCTCCCGTTTCTCAACGAAATGGGAGCAGAGCATCCTAGGGAGATGACCTTTTCCTTCATTTGGTCTGCCAAAGCATGATGAAGGGAACCATTCCGGAGACGCAGATCGGCTGGTGCGTGCGCGTGCGCGTGCGCGTGTGAATGCATGCACTTGCGCGCCTGTCGGGGTGGGACTCAGAAGGTGGGCACGTTCTCTGAAATGGACTCTTTGGACCACTCAAGCTTCCGATGGCGGACAAAGCCCTGTTGCTGTCCTTGCTCTTACTTAGTGTGTGGCCGACTTGAACTTGAAGGTAGATAATGCTCATTTAAAAAAGAGTCCTAGACGGAATGCCTGAGGAAACTGCGTGCCCAGCTGAAGAAAGATGAGCAGAAGACACTGGGGCCGGGTGGGGGAGGGGAGGGTCGGCCACTATGCCTTCAGAAACGTTGGGTCAGGGAGTAGCTTCTCAGCTTAAGAGGGGCCATTCCGACCTGAGATGCTGAGCATCCGGGTGGGATGCAGAGCAAGACGTGGAGGATCATGGGTCAGCGAGGGTCAAGAGGAAGAAACCCCGCCCGTAACAACCTTCCCACGGAGATCTGTGACTTACCTCGTGCGTAGTAGGTAGAGTTAAATGCCGGGATACGACGAGCTCAAAGGAGTCTCCCCGTGTGTCGGCCGTCCCGGCTGTTTTCTACACTGGAGACATTCCTGGCCTATGCTCAAGGGACATTTGAATTGTCCCCCACCCAAGAGGCCGGGTCCCCTTCTGCCCGTCCCGGCCCTGGGCGTGCGCTTCCTCGCGGCGCCGCTAGATGGCGGGGCCGCACGCCCTGGAGGCGCAGCCCCGCGGTGGCGGGGGCTCGCTCGGCGCGGCAGACGCCACGCCCTGCAAATTCTTAGGGACTTTTCTGTGGCGCTCGGTACTGCTGCCTTTTGCATACCGAAATAAGGATCGCAGTGGTGAG